GAGTGCAATTTATGACCTGCTGAGCTGCCCGGACAGCTGAGCAGCGTTGCGTGTGGGTGCGCAGCAGTTGGAAAAGCCCTTTTTCCTGCTTTTTCAACTGCAGCTGTGCCACACAAAGCAGCTGAGGTTGAAAAAACAGGAAATAAGGACAGGTAAGAGCCTGGGCGGGCAGGTGGGCCAAAACAGCAGCAGACACAGAACCGGTTCTGTGTCTGCTGCTCTTCAGAGCTACTGGTTCTGTAGAGCTGGACAGAACCGGTAGAATCCCACCCCTGGATATAGGTTATGCGTTAAAGCCCTGTGATAGGAGACATACTATTAGTCTAACCCAAGGGTCTTCAAACTTGGCAAGTTTAAGACTTGTGGACTTCAACTCCCAGAATTCCTGAGCTAACATGACTGGAGGAGGAATTCTGGGAGTTGAAGTCCACAAGTCTTAAAGCTGTCAAGTTTGAAGACCCCTGGTCTAACCCAATGATGGAGGTTGAGAGAAGAGAAAAAGAGAGGAAGAATGAAGAGAAAAATTGCAAACAACAAAAAATGTAGAAGGAAACGGCTAGAGAGATATTTGGGGAGTAAAGTTGATGTGAGTATGGAGACTGGTTGTCAGATTTTGGTCAAAGTGGGTCAAGAAAAATCAACAGGTGGTTTGCCTGGAAGAAGAAAAACAAGGTCCCTGAGAGATGGTATCTTCACCCAAAACCCATGTCAGGAAGGACACAGCTGGTTACAGACAGAGTGTCAGAAACTTTGGCAAAGCGAAAGTCTCTGGGGAAGAAGAGATGCAGGTGTGTATTGGCTGAACAGATCCAAAAAAAGGGGAAGATTTGTGCTGAGCATTACTCTAAGATACAGAAAACCTAAGCAAGTTTAACATTAAGCAAGCTTAGCTTGTGCAAAAATAGACTTTTGGTATTTCAATAACCCAATTCAATATGAACGCAACCAACAGTTCAGGGCTCCTTTTGACGTTTGAATTTTGGCTTCCCCTAAAATAATGCATATTTACCTATGGTTTGTTTTTAACAGCTTACCTTTCCTTTGGTTTTCTCTAAGAAGTCACTCAGGCTGGATGATTTGGCAAAATTTATGCCTGTCTCAAAACCACCCGATACAGGGAACAAAGGCGGTTTCAGTTGAAGAGAGAAGCTCACATCTAGGGAGTGTGATTTTGTACTGACTATTTTTTCCATTGTTTTTCCTTGGTCGCTGTAGAATTCACTTGTAAATTTTTTGTCTCCTCTTGTCTTGAAAGGCAGAAAATATACAGTTAAATGCATGAGTAACAGTTAGATAATGATGGACAACACTTAGGCTACGATGACACCCTGTGGTAAAACTCGTGATGGGCTTAGTTCAGACGAGACGTTAGTACACCAGATTTTTGCCCCAGCACTAGTGGTGAATGGTGTGGGATGCTTCTCCCTTTTAAAATCATTCCTGTTGGTTTCCTTAGTGTAAGTGATCAACCCCAATTTCTGCAGAAATGAGGGGTTCTTCTATAAGAGACCATGGGGTGGGAAGAAGGCTGTGCCTGGTGGTGGATCAAGAGCCAATGAACTTTCATCAGAGATGGCAGCAGTGGTGGGATTCAGATTTTTTACTACTGGTTCTGTGGGCGTGACTTGGTGGGTGTGGCACGGGAAGGACACTGTAAAATCTCCAGTCAGAGGTGGTATTTGCCGGTTCTCTGAACTACTCAAAATTTCTGCTACTGGCTTTCCAGAACTGGTCAGAGCCTGTTGAATACCACCTCTGGATGGACAGATCTCCATCCACATCCCTGGAATATCCTTTGGATGATCACTTTGAGATCATCCTATGCTGCCACCCTAATTCCAAAGTTAGGAGACGTTAAGATTGTTCTGCATAGCCTGAGCTGTATATATGTGGCCATCAAATCATCAAAACCTGTGGGGGTGGAAAGTAACATGTCTTTCCTAAGACATGTTAGGAAAGCAACTGGTCTTTCCTATACTAAACAGATTCATAATGGGGTGCTAAGCCCAACGTGAGGCTGTTTCTTCTTCAGACTTCTGACTGAACAATAACAAATACAATTTGGCAATGTGGGGATCCCTTGTGTCTTCAGGTAAATGTCTGAATGTCTAAAATTCCACATTTTTGATAAAGAACTAAACTGCTTGCTTTTATTATTATATATAAATTAAAACACCCATGCACAGAACACCGACTGTAGGAAGGGTTTGTTTGTTTTTAATCTCTATGGCATCTAACAAAATATTCATAACTCATGCCCTTCAGCTGTATAATGGTTACAGCTGATGGAAAATTACAAGTTTTTCAGGCCCAATGCATATGGTCAATGCTGTGATGGGAAGTCTGAATTAGGAAATATGCATCTTGCTTTTGATCTCCCCCCCCACCAAGACTAGACAAAGCTGCATTTTGTTTTTGCCTATTTGTTTTTTTTTTGCAACAAAAGCACCCAGTTGATCTTGGTGAATCTCAAAAAGCAAAATAGGACCAGAACTGCAGACTATCTGAATGGATTCCAGGGATGTAACCTAGGCAAGGCAATTTGAAAGAAAATCCTAAGGCAATGGCAAAGAATTTGTGTAAAGTTGCCAAGAAAATTATATGGACACACACTTTACATTTTAGAAGTTGAGGCTGAGGCAAAGTGGATGTTGCCTTTTGATGCAAAACAAAACCCTGCTTTACACAAAGGAGCTTACTTCATAACTGAGGAAAGCCACATTCCATGGCTTGCGGTAATAAGTGGCTGTGTTCCCATCACGGACTCTGTCACAGATGCCATTGTAGAACTCATTGTAAAGGGCTTTTTGAGCCGGTTTCATTCCCAGCACATTCATACTTCAAGAAAAGGAAGGAAGAAAAGTTATGTTATTAATTTCATTGTACTATTAAATGTCATATACTATCAGAAATAACAAGCAGGAACAGCAAATACAAATCAATAATATACACAAAATACCAATTTTTTTTTTCTTTCTAGAATTTTCCTTCAAGTGCAAGGTCTGCTTTTTTCAGGGAAAACAAACAAACAAGTGTTGTTCCATTGGTTGCAACAGGAATTGATAGACCAGCTTATTGTCTGAGCTTGGTATGGGCACCCGTCCAAAGTTACTCAACCAGTTTTCATGCCTCTGGTGGGACTAGAAGTCAGACTTCTGGTTAACCACACACGAGACTGGCTCTCTCTCAAACAAAAAGGTGGGGTTTTTTGCACGTTAAATGTTAAACACTTATTGTCTGGAAGATTTTATTTAGTAATCATTTAACTTGGCTGTCAGGATATCAGACTCTTCAATGTCTCTGGATGGCTTACAAGTAACAAAAAAATAAAATTTATAAAAGAAACATAGTTGGCCAATAAAGACCAGTAAAAAGCCAAAATACTGACCCTTTTCCATAGCCTTGGAGAACAACCAAGTATTTAATGATTATCTCAGTATCGTTATAGTGAAACCTGCTCAAAATTTTTATTTGGGTTTCCTTTGGTTTTATCATTTATGAATACCACCTGAAGTCATTGCCATATCACTTAGGGTGCCAGACAAAGGCTCTGAGTAATTTTTTTTAAATGTCAGGACTTATTTGGTGTTCAGGGGCATTATGGAAAATTAAGATGACACTGAAAGCTGGCACCTTGCTTTTCATGAAGACCATTTTTCATTATTTTAATACCAGTGGATTCAAAAATTTTTTACTGCCAGTTCTGTGGACATAGCTTGGTGGGCATGGCTTGGTGGGAGTGGCAGGGGAAGGATACTGCAAAATCCCATTTTCCTCCGCACCTCCTAACCTGCTTTCCAGCTCTGTTCTCCTGTGCAGGGCAACCAAAGAAGACTCAACCGATCAGCTGGGACTCAGGAGGCAGAGAATAGATGGGGGCGGGGCTAGTCAGAGGTGGTATTTGACGGTTCTCAGAACTACTCAAAATTTCCTCTACCTGTTCTCCAGAACTGGTCAGAACCTGCTGAATACCACCTCTGTTTAATGCTACCAGTATTATAATCCAATCTTGAAAGTTTCAGGTAGCTTTTTAAAAATCAAATTAGTTTAAGTGTATGTGTGTGTGTGTGTGTGTGTGTGTGTGTGTGTGTGTGTGAATAAAAAATCAGATAGAAGTGGGAGCCTGGTGGAATCAATGCAGGTCTACGGAAGCTTTGCATTCTTCAAATCCATGTTGAATCTAGACTTCGCAGATAGCACAACATGCAATTCTGTGCTTCTGAAGTTTTTCCTGGTATCAGGTTTTTGTTTCTATGCATTTAGTTTTAATATGGTTTCAATATGGTTTAATTTCTGATTGGGAGATGCCCAGAGTTTATTATAAGATGGGAGCATATATAAATGCAATATATATATAAATAAATAAAAATTGTATTCTTCTCATTGTCTAAAACTCACCCTTGTCCAGCTGTTCTTCCAAGTTCTGATACGTCAATGTCACGATCCCCACAGGGTGGGCGTTTGGTTTCGTCACAATTATCTTCATCAGAGAAGTCACCACAGTCATCTTCTGTGTTACACACCAACCTACCCTTTAGACAATATCCTTAGCGTAGAACAAAGAATGAAACATTATAACAATAGATAATTGGATATTTAGAATACCTTCCTAAGTCAACATTGCTTTCCCCAATTGTGCCTTTTGGGTGAATTGGGCTTCAACTCCCCAAAATTTCAGCCTAAATAAAATAAACTACCATTTATATCAGAATGACCAACTGATTTACAGTTAATTTCTCTGGAGGGGGGGGGAATAGTGTAATATTTGTTTGAATGATACAATATGCTTTTATATATCACTACACTGTTCTCAAAAACTTACTGAGGCTTTTTGGTTTGCATTTCAGTGCAAATTTAACTTAACCTGTTCCTCCTGAGCCTATATGCATAGGTTTCATTTGGTGAAATAAAACAATCATCATCGTATAGTAGCACAATGCAAATAATACATGGTTGTGATCAAAATATTGTCAGATTTTTTTTTAAACGGAAAACATAATACTTCGACATTTAACATTTCTCTGAATGGTGCAGTGTGGTTGTCCCATCAAAACATGGCTTATAAAAATGCATGTAGAAAGAAAATGTCCTTGCAAAAATGACATTAGAAAGCGCAATATTCATCCTCACACTATACTGTAGTCCAGGGCTGCTAAACTCCTGGCCTGCAGGCCGGATGTGTCACGTGCTGGCCATGCCCATGCCCGGTTTAGCGAAGGGGGGGAAAGTCCTCATACATCATGTGACTCTGCTGTGGTGACGTGAGTTTGACACCCTGCTATAGACGTTTGGTTAGAGGGAAAAAAAATGTGTGATGGGAGAAAGCTGCTTAAAAAACAAAAACACATCAACTAGTATGTCACTTCCACCATCTAGAAGGTGATCCTGGAGGTTCTCCTCGCTGGACAACGATGGCAGCAGAGAAATACATGTCAAAGTCTCCATACCCATACTGCTTTCCTTGCAGTTTTAGAAAGCAAACAAAAACATATCAGCCAGTGTGCAATTTTCCCCATCTGGAAAGCGATCCTGGAGCTCTCCTTGCAAAGAAGCCCACTGTCCTAGAGTTTTAAGTCAGTGGGATATGGGCGGGGGTGGGCTTCAAACATTTTAGCAACGGGTTCTCTGCCTGATTGCTGGGTGGGCGTGGCCTAGTCGACCTCCTGCACCACAGCGGGTGGGGGTTTGCCCTTCCTGGGTTTTGGAGGCTCTGGAGACTCTCTGGAAGCTGGAAACAGGCCCATTTCCGGCCTTCCTGAACTTCCGGGAGGCCCGTTTTTCCCCTTCCCCAAGCCTCCGCGCATGCCCTGCACTTAGCTATATCCAAAAACAGGCCACGTGAGGACTCCTGGGAGGGGAGGGGCAGGGTGGGCGTGGCCAGCCAAGAGCGGGATTTTGGTGTTCTCCAAACTGCACAGAATCTTAGCTAGGGACTCTCCCGAACCCCCAGCAGCCCACCGCTGGATCTGGCTCTAAATCTTCCTCTTGTCATCAGACCACTATAATCAGTGAGAAATGATGTCAGATGTCTCCATACCTACCATTTTCACATTCAAACTCTTGCTTCCCACAATGACCTCTCTTGTCCGGGCATGGAATTCTTGTCTCACAGGACTGTTTATCGCTCAGGGCTACAATGCAAGGCTTTCCTCCAAACTGTCCAAACTTCAGAATGCTCCTTGAGCGGTACTTTGTGGGAGATATTAAAAACAAAATTACAATAGGCTTCAGTCTCAGCCAGCTGTGGAGGGGATGAACGGCTGGGGGAAATGAGGCTGGCCCCGAAAGCCCCCGCCCTGCCTTTTAATTAATATTTAATATGAAAGTTAAAGTTTAATCATCCTTGCCTCTTTTTAAGTCTTAAATTTGATATACTGTTTTTAGTCCCTCTATGACGCAAATGGGCAGTAAAATAAATATGCAAGTTGAAAAGAATGGAAACTTGCTGCATGCCCCAAAATGGAATAGAAAGGGTTCACAGCTATTCAGGAGAGACTATCACTCCATCACTAGATGGACGTCTACTCAACCTCAACCTCAGCAAATTTTAAGAAAGAAACACTGATGTACAGCTAGATAGGCTATTATAGTGTGGACACTTACACTCTGAAAGGATTGAAATGAGTGATTTCTTAACATCCATTCAAATTCAACACTCTATGATTAGTGGATAAACCGTGATTCCAAACGAGAACCCCTTTTTCTTTTTCTACTTGAAACTAATGTCCACCAAGGAGCCTATACTTCACAAATAAATCTTCTTTATGAAGTTCTTTTAATGAAAGTGAAATTATGGAAATGCCACTTACTCTTTCTTTTGAGCACGGACTACATGGTCCCCAAGCACTCCAGGTAGTCAGCAAGCAATCAATGGGCGCTGGAGCATTAGGTTCCCTTTTCAACCTTAAAATAAAATCATTTTAAAGTAATTTAAAATGTTTCTGGTTTAATACATTGTAAGTTCCTGTTTGTACGTATATTGGTTGTATATTGCAAGGATGCAATATAGGAACAATACAACTTTGTTTCTCTGGCTATTTAGCAATAGCACTTAGACTTATATACCACTTCACAATGCTTTTACAGCCCTCTCTAAGCAGTTTACAGAGTCAGCATATGGCCCCCAACAATCTGGGTCCTCAATTTACTGACCTCGGAACAATGGAAGGCTGTGTCAACCTTGAGCCTGGTGAGATTTGAACTGCCAAATTGCAGGCAGCCAGCAGTCAGCAGAAGTAGCCTGCAGTACTGCACTCTAACCACTGTGCCATCATGGCTTTAGCAGATGAAATTGATCCCTTTAAGTAGACATTGAACAACATATCTTGTTTCCCACCCATGGAGGTTTTCACATTTCCTGCAATAATGTATTTGAATTTACTTTGCATTTTTAGAGGTAAAAACAGATGTCTTGTTTATACATTCCCACTAATGGGTAAATAAGTCACATATGCCAATGTCTACAAGTATTTTTAAGTATGCAAATGTAAGAGTGGCTAGAACCTTCTTTTTCTGAGATAAATGGGTTTCTTCTCTGAAGCCACATAAGGAATGATTGTAGGGATAAAAACAGTGCAAGAAGTCTACAATGTACAGACATAAATTTATCAACCTTTCAAAGTTACAGTGGTATTGAAAAAAGTGAGTTACAACTTACACCTATGAATGTAGCAGCATCCCCATGGTCACATGATCAAAATTTGGATAGGTGTTACTGGCATGTATTTAATGATGGTTGCAGAATCCTGGAGTCATTTGATTGTCATTTGCAACATTCCAGACCAAGTTCTGACAAGCAACCTCAATGGGGGAAGTCGGAATCACTTAACAATGGTGTGATTCACATAACAACAATAGTGATTTGCTTAATAACTATGACAAAAGTAATAAAATCAGATATGATTCATTTAACAACTGTCTTATTTAGCACTGAAAAATCTGGTCCTATTTGTGATTGTATTGTGAAAGATGTTCCTATGAATTTGTTTTCATGGTGAATATAGGACAGTATTTTTCAAGCTTGGCAACGTTAAGATGAGTAGACTTCAATTCAACGTTGCTGATTTTGGAAAAAAATGACAAAGGACCAACTTTGGATCTTTCTGGGTTTTTATTCTTAGAAAGCATTCCTATGTAATCCCTTATTTACATTCTTCCTCCACAAATAATTCATCCCGAATAACGGCTGGCTACTTGATGTTCAAATGCAGGTGTACATGTTTAAGTGAATACTTCAGTTTCTTAAGAGCAATGCCAGGACCGAATTTTACATTATCAAGCAGCTTTTGAGACCCACAGATGTGCAATATATTCTACTTCTGACCCTTCCTTGCTGGTTTTGCCCAGAGGTGCTATTCACCAGGTTCTGACTGGTTCTCCAGAAATTTTGAGTAGTTCGAAAAACCAACAAATACCACCTCTCACTGGCCCGCCCCCATCTATTCTCTGCCTCCCAAATCCCAGCTGATCAGCTGGGTCTTCTTTTGTTGCCCTGTACAGGAGAACGGAGCTGGAGAGCAGGTTAGTGGGATGGGGAGGGAATGGAAATTTTACAGTATCCTTCCCCTGGAGTGGGGTGGGAATCAGAGATGGTATTCAGCAGTTTCTGACCAGTTCTGGAGAACCGATAGTGGAAATTTTGAGTAGTTCGGAGAACCGGCAACTACCACCTCTGACTGGACATTTTACAGTATCCTTCCCCTGCCAGGCCCGCCAAGCCACACCCACAGAACCGGTAGTAAAAAAATTTGAATCCCACCACTGGTGGGAATGGAGATTTTACAGTATCCTTCCCACCAAGCCAGGCCCACCAAGTCAAGCCACGCCCACCAAGCCACTCCCATAGAACCAGCAGGTAAAAAAAAATTGAATCCCACCACTGGTTTTGCCCTTTGTTCATTAAGTCTCTCCAAGCATGAAAGTATGCTGAGCTGGAATAAGAATTCAGATTGAATCAATTACATAAATATGTGCTTGCTTATATAAATACAGTATTATATGTTTGCCTTTAGGCTGGATTGCACTGATGTTATCCTGAAGAATGGAATACTTGAGAGATTGCCAATTGGCACCTATTAGCGACTCACTGATTACATTCCTTGAGAGAGGGAGCAGATTCTAGGGTATCTATCCCAGTGCATTCTTATCTCTTCTTCCTTCCCAGTAAAAGTCTGAGGTCAGCTGGGTAGAAAAACACTTAGAGCCTTGACATTCATAACAAAGCTGATATATTGCATGGTAATGTTTTCACAGTGAAGGATGGTCACAGGTGTAGCAATCTCCAGTCCTTGAAAAGGAGTACGGGCAACTATTTTTGCTGTGGTTATCGACTAGCTTTTATGGCTGCATGCTGATAAGAACCAATTTCCATTTGCTGGCATTGTATGAAAAACACCTTAATTGCTTGAACTTCGGACAGGCTTCCTCTTTCACTTCAAGGCTGTCAGGTGCCAAGGAATGAGACTCTATGCAAAAGCTGGAAGGAACATGTATTGTTTGCAAGATAATAGTTACGCTGTTTTAACTGTAAAACAAAATGAGCTATGCAAAGTATTAAAATGGCAACAGCTAGCAAGATGCAATATATTTCGACACTGAAAGGTTCTGAATGTCTAAAAGCAGAATAAAGAGCACAGAAAGGGTGTTTGACAGTCTGTCCCCAATAAAAATATCCAAAGAGGCATATAAACTAGGTGCATCAAAACCATATTAAAAAGATACAATCCAACTTGGTGCTCAAAATGAAGCATCAGAATCAACATTGCTCTGTCTTGAAAAGTGTGGGGAGGGGGAATGGGGAGAGGTTAGTCTGATTCATTTCCAGGCAAATGACTTATGTACACATGCAAAGATGATCAAAGTGTCAGAGAAACAACTAAAGTTGTATGGCTTCTCTGTTAACTCAATGTATCCCACTGCTTTGCTTTGTAGATCTGCTTTTAGTGATTCAGATTTATCCACCCAGTGAAGATTCACATAGTCCTAACCTATTTTCTCTCTGTCTTCCCCAATTTTATCTTGCTCAGCCAGTTTAAGAGTGAAGGATTAGCCTAAAGTCCTTCAACACGTTATGTGGCTAAGGAAGGTTTTAAAGCTGTATCGAGCCTCACACAGTGACCATTCAAAGTTACGACAGGGCTGGAAAAGTAACTTTGTGACTCTATGACCTTCATAGAGTCCCTGAGTCACATGATCACTGTTACACTCAGCATACATTGTCTTGACCTGATCTATTTTTTCTTCTTGACCTGATCTATTTCTTCTTCTTCTGTAGAATGGAGAGAGTGGAGAAGAAGGGATTACAAAAGAGTTAGCAAGCAAATAATAGGAAACATACACATAAAGAAAAGGATTGGTGCAAGTATTCCTGAGTACAGGTAAACCACAACTTACAATGGTTTAGTGATCATTCAAGGGCACTGAAAAAAGTGACTTATGACCATTTTTCACACTTACAGCCATTGCAGCATCTCCATGATCACCTGATCAAAATTCAAATGCTTGACCACTGGCTCATACTTATGACAGTTGCAGTGTCCTGGGGTTATGTGATCCCCTTTTACAACCTTTTGCCAAGCAAAATCAATGGGGAAGTTGTATGTCATGCCCTTGTTAGAGTCGACTCTGAGGGAGAGGAGGAACAGGGAGTGGAGGTGTGGCTCCAGAGGTTGTGGAGGAGGCTGGGGAAGGGCAGAGGCCGGCTGGCCAGTCAGAGGAAGAACCAGGCCCATCCCCTCTGCATCCTAGAACACACAGGGGGGAATGGAGAAGGAAACAACTTGGCTTACAAGAGAAGAAGTGGCCATGATCCCCCTCATTGGTTGCAGCTGGGGAGAACAGTATATAAGAGAGATGGTTAAAACACAGCATTGCCAGAAGCAAAGCATGTTTTATTATGGGCTGAAGTTATCTTGATTGGCATCCTTCCAACAGACTGTGCCTTGTTATCTCCTTGAAGTTGGTAATTACTTATCCTGGTCTGTTGTGGAATTTCCTTTATTGTAGTTTGTTTTGGTTTTTAATTTCACCTCTATCTGCTCATTAAGTTCAGACTGTATTACTTTCTTTTGAAGACTATTTTTGAGGAAGTTTTACCTCCAACTGAGAATTATTGAACAGTGAGGCCAAGTTGGAGGCATTAAAGGACATTTATTTACATTTTGGATTTTGTTATGTTTGTGTTACACTCCGGGTCATCACACTGTATTCACTTAACAACTGGGTGACTAACTTAACAACTGCAACTAACAAATATAGCAAGAAAAGTTGTAAAAATGGGGCAAAAGTCACTTAACAAATGTCTCACTTAGCAACATATATTTGGGGCTTAACTGTGATTGTAAGTCAAGGGCTAACTGTATGCTACACAAAAAAAAGCCCAGTGTACTCCCCATTTTGTCTATTTAGTCTCTGGTAATATCTTCCTCCCCTATCTCTCTGCTCTTTGAAAGTGGGGACAAAAATGGGTCAAGTATAGATCGCTTGTGATGCTCCCACCCTCTCTTCTGAAAGTGGAGAGATTGCTAAAGTATTGGAGGGGAGAGAAAAAAGGGGGGAAATCCAAGAAATCTCTAGCAAAAAATAGAAGCAAAATATCAATTTAGGTTTGAGGAAAAATAACTAAGAAGCTGCTTAACATTTCACTTCTTGGCTCACCTTCCTAAGAGCCTTTGTGGTCTAGTTGGATAATAGCAATAGCACTTAGACTTATATACCACTTTATAGTCCTTTACAGCCCTCTCAAAGTGGTTTACAGAGTCAGCATATTGCCCCCAACAATTTGGGTCCTCATTTTACCCACCTTGGAAGGATGGAAGGCTGAGTCAGCCTTGAGCCTGGTGGGATTCGATCTGCCAAATTGCAACAGGAGTAGCTTGCAGTACTGCACTGTGCCACCAAGGCTCTTATATAATGACAGAAGGGAGAACTAAAAGGAAGTTTCTCATTTTTATTTTGATTGATTGATCTGATTTGATTTCTATAGAAATCTCCCATCTCAGCCAAGGACTCTGGGTGGCTCACAATTCATTTGTCATTATTACCAGAATTTGTTATCATTTTGTAAGTTGAACTGCTATAAATATGCAACTTTCTGAACAATGCAGTCTTTGGACATAGTCCTCAGCATGCAAAATGAACAAATGAAGAAATGTAGCTGCCGCTGAAAAATCTTGTAAGCTCAAATGTATTCCCAGCACTTCAAAGAATTTAGTTCTTTATTCTGTTCCTTTTCTTGCCAATAACTGGCAAATACTGTAAGACACGGTAAGAG